AAAACTTACTGAGGTTACACTCAATCCCCTCATCCAGGTCATTGATAAAGATATTAAACAAGACCAGCCCTAGAACTGAGCTCTGGGGGACACCACTTGTGACCGGCTGCCAACTGGATTTAACTCCATTGACCACAACTCTCTGGGCTTGGCCATCCAGCCATTTTTTTACCCAGCAGAGTACACCCATCTAGGCCATGAACCACCAGCTTCTCCAGGAGAATGCTGTGGGAGACTGTATCGAAGGCTTTGCTGAAGTCCTGGTAGACAACATCCACAGCCTTTCCCGCATCCACCAGGCAGGTCACCTGGTCATAAAAGGAGATCAGGTTGGTCAGGCAGGACCTGCCTTTCATGAACCCATGCTGGCTGGGCCTGATCCCCTAATTGTCCCTGAAGTACTTAAAATCTGCAGCTGCTCAGTGTGACTACTTATTCCATGGCAAAATACAATGCTTTGAAAGGTACAGATCACACAAGTGAAGTAGAGGTGTGGATATGGAACTGGGGCTTGTGGAGGTTGGAGAGCTGAGGATATTGTAGTAGAATGTTAGCCTTAGGGGGCTCTGGTTTCAATAAAGATAACAGTGATCAGGAGTGGTAGAAGGCACATAACCATGGGATGAAGCTGACCTACCTATTAGACTTGTGCATACACCACTGCAGCACGGAATTTCAACACAGCACATGCCATTTCTCCACATTATCTTCCTCACTGCTCGAAGAACACTGTATCACGGGCTAGTGCACTGCATACATAAATTATCTGAGAGCTTTATGGTCTCTGCCTGTACAGGCGGCAACTTATTACAAGAAAAACAGAGAAAAATACATAGATTTTGCTATCATTGTGAAAACTTTCCTCAAAGACACTTGATTAGTAACATCTAATTGCATCCAGAGGAGAGCCACAAAGCTGGTGAGGGGTCTGGAGCACAAGTGTTATGAGGAGCAGCTGAGGGAACTGGGGTTGTTTAGCCTGGAGGAGGCTGAGGGGAGACCTGATCGCCCTCTACAACTGCCTGACAGGAGGGTGTAGCGAGGTGGTGGTCGGCCTCTTCTCCCTCGTAATGGATGATAGGACAAGGGGGAATGGTCTGAAGTTGCGCCAGGGCAGGTTTAGGCTAGACATTAGGAAAAACTTCTTCACCAAAAGGGTTGTCAGGCTCTGGAATGGGCTGCCCAGGGAGGTGGTCGAGTCCCCATCCCTGGAGGTATTTAAAAGAAGGATAGATGAGGTGCTTAGGGACATGGTTTCGTGGCAGAATGGCAGGGTTAGGTTAAAGGTTGGACTCGATGATCTTAAAAGTCTTTTCCAACAAAAGTGATTCTATGATTCTATCTTTCTAGCTTGCCATGTCAGAATTTCTTAAAAAGAAAAAAAAGGGGGGGTGGGGGGTGGGTGGGAAAAGGACAGGGCACATTTTATAGCAATGTTTCAGTTCTGAAATTAGTTATCAAGGATTTAGTGTTTTAAGTCAACAGAAAGATGCCCTTCTCACAACTCAAAGACCTTGAGAAAGAATCTGAAAAATTCAGCAGGCAAGAAGTTTCATCAGAAGTGTATTACAAAGCAGTTGAGGAAAGGGTGTCCAGTTTTTCATCACCGCTACCGAATAAATTTAATTCAGCGGAAGCGTTTCCTTTGGCGGTGAACGCGAGCTCAGGCTGCCACCTCTCCCTCAAGGGGGCTCGGGGAGGGGCGAAGATCCCCCCCCGCCTCTCCGGTGAACGGGTTTGGGGATTCTTTTGCCACATCAGTATTTCTACTTCTTTCAGCCCTGCTACCACGTATGATTAAAAAAAGAACTCACAGAAGGGGCTGCAGGTCACCGGCCATGGCCACGGCCTCGGG